AAATCGTGATTCTCATTTTATGCAAAATCGTGCAGCCCTAAGAACTAGGCTCTCTTTTTAGTCCCTTTCAGTACTGTTATATACTTTTATGGAGTTTTTCTAGCACTTTTACAACCCTGGCAGTCCTGTGCTTGGGCGAGGCTTTCACATGTCCTGTACCCACACTGATGATGGGTCCCATTCATCAAAAAAAATTGCATAAAAAGCTTAATATCTCAAAAAGTATGAAAGTTATCAGCACCAAAAGATATAGCTGGCGTTAGCAGAATGAGCAGAACAGCTTAAAGTTTGAATGGTGAAAATCGGATGAAAACTGAGGGAGTAGTGAAGCGGCAAAGAAACAGGAACACAGCAGTGTGATTGGCTCACGGCAGCAGTGACTCAACTCTTCACTACACCTGAAGTTACATCTCCTATAAAAGATGCTGACGTCATTTTAAGATTGTAATAACAGTGTTTCTGTTTTTATTGAATATTATCCAGTCTGTCTGAAATGAAAGCGCAGCACAAATAAACAACTGCGGTTAAAAAAGAAACTACGGAATAAATTTAGATTTAATTTTAGACCAAAACGTAACCTTTGACTCATCAGTGGCACTTTTGGCAGAACAGCTGAACACAGCCATGGCTTCTGTCCACAACAGAAATCAAATCTTCTCCCACATCTGTACAAGTTCCCATAAATGTGGACCTTGTAGCTGCTTTGCTTTCGCTCTTCTGTCCAGTTCAAACCAGCTCGATGGGGTTTCAGTCTGGAGGCTGTGCTGGACTCCATGTTTGCAAGCTCACCATCTTGTTCTTGTTCCTGAGGTAGTTCTGGCACAGCTTGGACTGATGGTTTGGGTCATTATCTTGCTGTAGGATGAACCACTCAGTTTGTCCCCAGTTACCTTTTTTCCCCTTCTTCTGACCACTACTCATGCTGGGCCTTCATCTGGGTTGGAGTTTTCTCCAGGACTGGGTCCGACTGACTACTTTATCTTTTCAAATATTTATCTATTGCTCTCACGTGCTGCTGTCTATGACTATTATGTAATTTCTTCTGTGTCGTCTTCTGTTTTACTGGCAGTTGGCAACCATTTAATTAGAGCAGGTAGTTGTACTGCCCTCTAGTGGAAGAGAATGGAATTGTTCGGCCCGTTACTCACGCCGGTCGCTTAACCCTTTAAGACCTACCATAGAACCAAGTCTGCCAGAGCTTATATTATAT